TTTTTGAGAGGTTTTGTCACTACAGGGTGCGTGTGCTCGCCAGACAGACAGAGAGAGACATAGAGACAGACAGCGAGAAATCACCCCCCAGGGAGGATGGTCACACCGCAATCCCTTCTCCTCCATTGTCCTCTCGGGATCTTGGGCATGCACGCACATGCACCCAGCGTGAGTTTTAAGCCACCGGGTCCGGGACGCGAACCGCGGTTGACTACGTGGGAGTCCAGCGACATAGCCATCACGCTAACTGCTGGTTCTCCCCTGTAGTCATTTTTAAAAAAACAGATTGTGAAACAAGATTTCCAAGGGTCAGTTCTTGGCATAGTCACTTTCTATCTGTGTCTGTGGACGAGTAACCTGTGTGTCAAGGGGTACCAGCCATATCAAATAGAAATACAGGATGCCTAATTACATTTGCATTCCATCAAATTTCTTTGGCATATGTGCACCAAGATAAAAGAAAAATAATACACAGAGCATTTAACACCATTTGTCATTTATTTGAAATAAATTGTGAGTACCAAAATCACATGGCTCTTCAGTTATATTTCCCCAATGGCTTGGCTCTCTGCAATGGTTCTTTGTTAAACAGAATGGGCTTATACAACTCCTCACAGTTACAGCCTCAGTTCCATTTACTTTGTGACATAGCTTCTATAATGGTCACATTCAACTCGTTTCATTTTTTTCCTATTGAATCTTCACTAATGAGAAGACATATTCAACATTGGCAGTATGACGGAGTATGCTGGACAGCTACAGGTATAAAGTAGATGACTTCAACAGCTACTCTTCAGCTTTGATTTGTTGTGATACAGAATACTATCTTTCATGGCATAAATTGCTTTTTATTATATAGATTTGTATTGACTTTTTCCCTTTTCTTTTAGATTTTTTTTTTTTTTTTTTTTTTTTTGCCATAGAGTACACCCACCGGCCAGAGAGAGACAGAGAAAGGGAAAGTGAGAAAGCATCCCCCTGGGGGAATGGCCACATCACAATTTGTTCTCCTTCATTCTCCTCTTGGGATTCTGGGCACATGTGTGCCCAATGTGATTTTTAAGCTGCTGGGTCCAGGACTCAAACCATCACATGCAGTTTGGCATTTGGTATCTATCTGTCTTAACCACCATGCCAGTTACTGTCCTAGCCAATGACTTTTTAATTAGCCACTTATAAAAAGCATTGTCATCAGCATTTATTCCCTTCTTCATGCTGGAAGAGTATTTGGTCACATCCATGTAAAAGAATACAACTGAGACCACTTCAGAAGAGAGTGATGAAAGTGCTTTAATGATTGTTCACTTCAAATAGGAATTTTTTTTCCTGTTCATAAATAATGTTGCTCCATTAATAAACAGCCTTGACACTTAAAGGATAATTTTCTTGTCAATACCTTCTTTAATGCGTTCAGTGATTTCTTTAAAGCTGTGGAATACTTCAGTAATGCTGTTTGCTCTTCTTTCAGTTTGTACAATCCTATTGCTAAAGAGATATTGAAATTATGACACAGAGGTCACACAGAGGGTACTCCTCTCAGCAACACATAGGTAATATTTGCCAAGGAAGCTCATTAGTGTCTCTGCTCAAGATTTTTTATTTTAATTTTTAGATAAACTTTCAATTTTATAATAGTTTCAAATTTGCAGAAAAATTGCCAAGATTATAGAGTCCTCATATATCCATTCTCCTCTATTATTAACATTGTATGTGGTTGTAGTCTATTTGCCATAATTCATGAACCAGTATTGATACTTGATTATTAACCAACACCCATACTTTAGTAAAATATCCTTTATTTTTGTCAACGTCCTTTTTCTGTTTCAGGAATCCCCATCCAGGGTCCACACTGTACTCAGTCATCTGGTCTCCATTTAGCTGTGGTGGTTTCTCTGGCTTTTCCTGGTGTACTGATGTGAACTTACTTCTCCTTACTGGTCATCACTTGTTCTCATCATAGGACTTTGGTCAAAGAACAGTTTTGCCTTTCCTGAATATGAAAGGTAAGTACTTCTTAGTCCTCTCTTTTTGTTATCATTCACCTGAAGTGGCAGGAGAGACTTTAAGAAACTGTTCACATCTTTCTTTGGAGGAATATGATTATCAGCTAGCATTGCCATTTAAGTGATTTAAGCATAATAAGTGGCAGGAAAAAAGTTCTGGTTGCTGAAATACTGCAATTGGTTGGAAAAAAGCTGATTACAAAACACTTAGGGTATTCAGACAAAATCAACATGGGATGCAGGTAAAAATTGGCACTATGGCTAAGGTGCGGGATCCCACAGGGTCAACTGTGTGGTTCGAGTCCTGGATCCAACAGCTTGAAATCACACCAGGCATGTGTGCTGTACATGACCAAAATCCCAAGAGGAGACTGGAGGGAAATAGATTGTGGTATGGCTATCTCCCCAAGGGGTGATTTCTCACTTTCCCTCTCTCTCTGGCAACAGCATGCACCCTATAACAACAACAAAACAAAAATTCAAAGACTTATTTAATTTATTATTGTTATTTTTTAATTTGACCAGAAAGAGACTAAGAGGGAGAAAGGAGAAGTGAGGAAACAAGCCACTATGTCTAGGACTTGAACTACGGTCAGCCATGTGGGAGTCCAGTGTCTTAACTACCATGGCACCTACTCTGGCCCCTAAATTTTTTTTTTTAATGTTGAATATAGGACTTGTCTGGCAATCCTATGTTGGGGTCACCATTCAGGACCCTCCTCTGGCCAGGAAAGTCTTGACCTCACCTGAAGATGGAGTCAGTCTGTGATGCTGGGTATGGGCAGCCCTTTGGATGACCCCCACTACACCATGGGACCCATCTCAGACATTCTCTCCTCTTTTCTTTACTTTCTCGCCCTGGCGTGAGCCTTGTTGGTACCAACAAGGCTTTTAATATTTTCCATTCTGAGCTTGCTTGTGTCGTGGTAGTTAAGGTGACTGCCTCCCACATGGGTGACAGCATGGTTAGAGTCCCAACTTGCAGTCTGAGAGACATGCTGGGCTTGTGTGCATGCATGCCTGAAACCCTGGCAAGAGGGGGAAATGGATAAGGGATTGTGGCGTGACCATGCCCCCACAGGAGAGGTACTTTCTCACTTTTTCTTTCTCTGTCGTTCTCTGGTGAGCACACATGCCCTCCTACAAATTAAAAAGCAGTCTTTCCTGTTCCTGGCTGTTACACAATATTTCACTCAAAAAATGCTTCCTCCCCTCACCAAAGGTCTTTCCACGTGAGGAACCCAAAGCTGGACAAGTGGGAGTGACCTGCGAACATTCTGGGGCTTAGAGGAATCACAGCCTAGCCCTGGAGAAAAAGGTGACAGAAACATCCTCCTGGCCTATGAAGTGCGATCAAGGGCTGGTCCCACGCTCCTGGTCCCACAGAGCTTGGTCTGTGGCAATGAATAGGAGGTGGCTTGCTTGATTCTGTCTGAGACTCAGTGGGAACCCCTGTACTTGCTACCTGACCCTGCTTTTCCTCTCAGCCCTGACATCCCGTCTGCACAGTGGGGGTGAGACAGTGCTTGTCGAGGGAAAGCACTCTGAAGGTGAGGGGTACTGAAGGCGAGGTCTCAAGGGACATTTTCTCCTGAGAACATAAAGTTTGAGACAGGCTATATCTGGCTCATCCACTCACTGAAGCTAGAGTCTTTTTGGGATTCCAACCTTATGGGGATAGTGATTTTTCAGATTCCCCACCCCAGGTGCTCTCAATTTGGGCCTGAGTACTTCCTAAATTTTGAGTAAAAGTTTCAAATTTCTTAAAGACTTTAATGAATTAGGAAGAAATATTTTCAGAAAGAGGCTAGTTCAAGGTACCTAGTCCTCTTTACTACCATAAAAGGAGGTATTCTCAGTTTTTTAACCTAAAAACTGAAATAGTTAGACTGGAGCAGTAGGTCCTAAGATTTTTGGGGCATAGACTCTTAATAATCCTATGAAAAATGGGGCCTAGTGTGTGTACATAGGAAATGGGTGTTTGTTTCCCTGAAGCCATTCATGTACTCAAGATTCAGAGTTAAGGGGCCAGCAGGTGGTGTGGTGGTTAAAGCACTGGATTTCCACATGGCTGACCACGGTTCAAATCCTGGACGTGGCAGCTTGCTTTCTCACTTCCCTTTTTTCTCTCTCTGTTGAGTGTGTTTGCCCTGTAACAATTAAAAATA